GTGACACTGAGTTTGAGGGACAAATGTGGATGTGGTGTCTACAGCCAGGGCTCAGAAGCGTCTTTCAGAGATAGGGTGACCATATGGCTCAGACCTCATTTGCACCTGCTTTCCTAGAGTCTGATTTATGCCCCTTGTCCCAGTTGGCACCTCCTTCGCTCTCAGACGTGTCTCAGTTTAGTCAACTTACTCAAGAGAGAGCCTGCAGGGTAAGGGGAAAAAAAGTGACTCTAAGTCAGGTCCCTTTTCATGGCTTCTTTCTGCCTCCTCATCCTCCTACCTCAGACCTACTCCATTCTAGGCTCCTATATTTTCACCTTTCTCTATTTTTTTTTCTTACTTTCTGCTCACTTCTCTGGGGACGATCCACCCCACCCCCACAGACCCAAGTGAGCTTCAGTCCATTGTCCTACTGGGTTACCCCAAGTCACACCTCTGTGGGGCTAAAGGAGGAGAAAGTCTGAGGGCTAGCTTCTCAGCCTCCCCCCCACCCTTCCCCACAGTAGACAGGGTAAGGCAGATGGTGCTCTGGGCCAGGCAGGAGTATGGAGTTAGCACTGGCTGAGGGGCCTGCCTTCTAATCACAGCTCTGCTTCTTCTCTGCTGTGTGCCCTTGCAGCAAAGCTTTTCTGCTCTTGGAGTCTGTCTCTTTTCCTCTGCAAAAGATGGAGATTGAATAAGTGATCTGAACTGAGAAGTTGTGTTCATCTTATCTGATACCATTTCTCTTGGGGTTCAGGTCATATGAGGAGGGATGTCAGTCGCCTGGGAGGAGAGGGGTTTGTGTATATACCTGTATGGGGTTTCCCTAGGGTATTGAGTGAGGGTGAGGACTGGAGTCCATGAGGCTGTTTAAGGAACAACTTCTTGGAGGCCTACCCAGCCCCTGATCTGCTGCAGAAGCCACCACAGACACAAGGACAAAGGGACTCCTCTGGCAGGGTGGCAGGGCTCAAGCCACCACAACTGAGAAGGGCTACCCAGGAGGAGCTCAGGGGCTGAAGACAAGAGGGGTTGGCAGATGCAGAAAAAGAAGAGCAAATTAAGAGAGTGAGAGAAGGGACCGCCAGAGAGAGGACTCCATCACGGGGTAGTGCCTGCGCCTGCTTCCTAGTTTACAGAACGGAGTGAGCATCCTGCGTGCTGTGTGCACGCTGGGGCTCCCTGGCTCACGGGACTTGTGAAAATCAGCGAGAAGACGCTGGGAACTTGGAACGTGCTTTACATGGGGCCGGGATGGGCGGCGACCAGGGAAGGCAGCAGGATTTGTAGTCAAGCCTGGGTTCAAGTCCCAGCTGCCACTTGACGTCTCTGAGCCTCAATTTGCTCCTCACTAAATGGGGTTAATGAGGCGGTCTCGCCGGGCTGCGTGAAGCTGGAGATGAAAAAACGTCCCAGAGGCAGCGACCCCTGAATTTAGGGCAGGGGCCTTGGGAAGCGGAGCACGACCTGGCGCGGGGTGGGCGGCGACTCCCGGAGGCCACGGCACCTGGGGGTGAAGAGAGGTGACGCTCCTAGCGGGGAAAGGGGGAGCCAGACCCACTCGGCGGGGTGAGGGAGGCTGATCCCCACCCACTGATCCTACAGATGCGGCTTCGCGTCTCCGTTTTCCCTCCAGGCTCTCGCCGGGGTCCTCAGTCCCCGGCTGTCACCTGGACGCTGGGGTGAGGGGGCGGGCCGCGAGGCCCTGGAGGAGAGGCGGGACTTGGAGGCGGCCGCGGGAGCGGGCCGGGGGGTGG